ATATGGCGCTTCCAGGATTGGCTTGTCCATCGAAAACTGTGTTCTACGTTTATTGGAGCGCAGCCGAAAACCGGGATTGGTGTCCCTGACTCTCGGGCTGTCAACAGGACTTACCACTGCTGGTGCAATCAAGCTGTTAACCGAGATCTCCACTTTGAAAGTGTTCACAGTCCAACACAGAAGTATCAGAGACGACGGAATCCTAACAGGGGTTTTCCTCTCAAAGTATACAACCGTCCCGTTGTCTTTGGAGATCTTAACCATTCAGGGTGCCCTGGGCTACCCAGAAGACAAGACCGGGGCGGTGGACAGGAGAAGCAGTTGGATGGACGAGCTGCTTCACTGTCTAGATTTCCAGTTCTCCCAGTCCTTGCGCATCGTGAACTTCCGCCCGTCCAAGTACTTTTCTGTCCATTGTCCTTTTCACAACACACAGCACGAGCAACTGCAGGAGTTGATGAAACGTTGGAGCTTGAAAACACTGTTGCTTCATGGCGATGTCAATGCACCAGAATGCATGTTTTTGGCAGGGGATGTCTCGACTGAGGGCACACGTAGTATTGATGAGAGTGTATCACTATAAACTGTCTAATAGGCATTGGGGTGCTATTAATTACGGCGTGAGGACTTGCGGCGACGTGAGATGTACATCATTGATCGAAGACGGTCCTCTTGCTCTATGCGAAGTCTGGCCTCCCGTCTCTCTGCTTGAAGTCTCCGCTCCTGCGCCTCAAAGTCTGTGTCCTGCTCATACGGATAGTCCATCACATAGACGAAACGTTCGACAAAATCTTCCTCCGTCATGATGCCCCAGTACTGACCCGACTGACCCCGCTGATAAGGGACATATTGAGTAAACTGTTCGCAGACTAGGAAGCATTGGGGGCGCCCTCGGGTCGTAGCTGAGGCGAGGGGGGAGACCACGAGGTGCACATATGTGGTCGCCAGGCAGATAGTTTGTCCCTTGGAGGCTGGGGTTCCGTGTGTCCCAAAGGTGTCTCCAGGCGCTGAGATTGAATAAACCTGAAATCCCGCGGTTAACAAGGTCCCTACGGGTAGAGATCTGTAGGGATATCACTGACTGGAACACATAGTTTGCAGCATCTCTCCGTCGGAGCCGGAATTCATCATGTGAGAGGTAAGCTGGAGCGCGCCGACCTCACCTGGAATTTATTAGCAACAAACCCAAAGGTAGACAACAAGAGACCTTACGAGCAAGTTCAGACGCGACCGCCATGCTCACATGGGTGTCCCATGCACGGTAAAACGGTGCGATCACGAACAGGAAGTCGTTGTGTTTGGACTCGTTCTTCAATTTGTGCAACAGGCAGATGTTGCGCAAGCACCGCATGGGGCTCTCTATATTAAGCATGAAAACGACGAGGGGCTCTTCAACAGCGTCTACAGGGTCGGTGACTGCGGGTCGGATGAGGTGAATTTCAGCTGGTAGCGGCTGCGACACGTACTGGAATGGATCCGGACTTCGTAGTCCCAACCATGCATTTCTATTCGGCCATCTAATCTGAGTGTTTCTCCCTCCTTGTTGCTGCTCCAACCCCTTTCCCCGGCGATAAGCTGGTGGGCGACTGAATGTGTATAAAATAAGAGAAGGATGGAAACAAAAACATGGCTTGCACAAACGGTCTCTGATGTCGAATGAGAGAAAGACTCTGATGTGCATATTCAAGTACATACCGCTGCTGGTCGTGGTCATTGGCACTACCCAATATTGTGATTTTGAACGAGGCAGGAAGGTCGTGAAAGTGGTCGCTCGACGGTCGCTGCATCGTTGGGAAGAAGGAAAAAGTGATGCATGCAGCGCATGCAGAATAAGCTGCAGGCAGATTGTCCTGCACGGCCAGGCAGTATTCACTGCAGGCAGGCCAAGCATGTAATTTAAGATGCGCTGTGGCATGTCACGTGGTCGTTCCTTTTCTCTTGCTTACGTGCTAATTTTGTCAAGGGTACCCGAGACGACGAAATGCCAAATTGCCAAAATCTGCTAAGACCTGACGTGACTTCAAAGCCCAAGACTAGTCCAACGTGTTCCTGTGCCCTCCAAATGACTACCTCTCGGCCTTTGCATTCCTTTATCGGAGGAGTGGGACTTTCTTTGCCTGCCCACGCATGACTCCGGCTGAACGGCGACATCTTTGGCGTATCAGGATTTCTACATCGCGCAGTACGTGGAAGTAAAGAGGCGATGGCTTCGGTGCTGGGTTTGGTGCTGGGAGGAATGGTTGCGTGTTCGATACAGGGCGCAGGACCTCCGAGTCAGCCCTCAGTTCCGCTGGTGTTTCCCTACCTGATTCTCTCTGGCTTGCTTGTGGGTATCGGCACGAAGGTACTTTCCATGCCCTTCATCTTGACCCCTAAACCTAAGCGGCATGTTTTCTTACTAGATGGCCAACGGCTGCACGTCTGGGTCATTATTCGAATGTCTTATTATTAACCAGCCTTCTGACGCACTTTAATTCAGCCACATGATTGCAGGGATCTCGAGATTCTCTCTTCGGTCAGTGCTCTCGGATCTGGGTGTCATTTAATTAATCACCATTGGACGTCCAGCTCTATTACCGCAACGGCAACATTTTTCTCGCCTGGAGTTATCACGGCTGGTCTTCTACACGGGAATTCCCTTCCTGTCCGCTTTTTTGAATGGTCACTGACGACTACGGGAAAATCACTTCTGGCGTTCCAACTTGTTCCTTTCATACTCTCAACGTTCCTGTATATTTTTGTTCGTCTTCGACGTTTTCCCCATCTCCTCTCTCTCTTGCTCACTATCACTCAAGATTCCCCCTCAGCCGCACGATACGGTCAATGATGGCAGGACAGATCACCCTGCGCTTCGCCTCATAGCTTCTCTCGCTACTGGTTTTCAATTTGCGCTTGCATTGCACCTATCCGACCTCACCGAACCTATTAAAGTTGTCACTTTTCTGCTTCTTCCGTTCCACAAGGCGTTCGATCCTTCCCTGGCCTTTCTAGTTCTAGGCGCACTTCCACTAGCTACCCTTCTATACCAGTTCGCCCGTGGATCAGAGCAACCGCGGCTCGGAGGTCCGTGGTCTATTCCAAAGGGTGGCCAGGTCGATATGTGGGCTCAGCTGTGTTCGGAATTGTCTGGGTTTTGCTGTGAGTATATGGATCTCATCTTACATATTTTGACGAGTTGAGTTGGCACACCAGTGGGTCCAGGGCTTGTGAACCTCGGCTGTGCCATCGGTGGGGGATCTAACCCCCTTTCAGTGTTAGGATGGCTAGCTGCTGTTGTGGCAGGAGGCTTCTTGGCGCAGAACTTGTATTAGTCTCCTGAACATGTACACTAGAGTTTTTTTCTTTTCTTTTCGACCGGGATTGAGATGTTTGAACAATTACAATTGAGTCAGCTCATCAGTCAAATTCTCATGAATTTAATCAGGCTAGGGCCCTGCATAATAAAAAAATACAGACGCTCAAGATCATCTATGCGGTTACGGTGCAGGATCAACCTTTTTCGCCCTGCCTCGTCCCCATTTAACAGCACTCCTCTCACCGTCGACCTCCAGTCCATTTGCCCACGCCTGAGTCGCCGTCTCCACGATTGACCGCTGCTTAAAGTTGACAAAGGCACACCTGGGTGAAGAAGTTAGCAAGTTTGTAGCGACCTAAAAGGAAGGTATGGACCGTGATTTCGCAATATGCACTACAGATTTGAGTTGCGCTGGTTCTGCGGAGGGCAGGGACTGCAGAACAGCTGTCCGAACGCTCAACTCAGTCGAACTTGCGGGTAATGACGAAGAAAATGGAAGTCTGCAGAAAAATAAGCGCCGGGGTAACAGTGATCAGTACGGGACGCACAATGATCTCGTTGTCTGGGGGTTTCAGGCCCTGGCTTTCGGCATGCGCAGCCATGATCTTTTTGGCGACAGGGTCGTTCCGACCGTGGAAACGATCTTGGATATTCTGGTGCGATAGCTCATTGTTTACTGGCATCTCGTGCCGGAATGGACACTCTGCTCCATGAGTACATTCGCCCTTGACGAAGAACGAACAGATGTGAGGTCTGTTCCGCTTGTAGCAGGGGTCCGTGCGGGCAAGCTGCTTCAACATATTCTTGCCTGCCGACTGCGCGCGACCTGAATCCAACCCGGATTTGTTCCCGTCAAGCTGGAACAATGAGGACGAGAGAAATATCAGACGCAAAAAGACACACCTTGCCCTCCATATTTTGGGCATAGTACTCCCGGTTGATATCGCTGGTGGGTGCCTCGTTCTGCAGCGCCAGGGCCGTGTCCCGCACTTGCGTCGGCAGACCATATTCGAGGTCAAGGAGACACGTTTGGCGCATGTCTGACATACGACCGTGGTCTTGTAACGCATACCAGTTCCCGGATTCCAACGAAAAACGGTGAAGGGCCGCCCACATGTACCACAGGAGCGGCCATATTCTTGCTTAGACTGTAATGCTAATGGTAAGGGCCTCAGATACAACATAGTCTAACTTGAGCTTCACCATGCAAATGAAGGGATTATCGCCGAGGCCTGAGAGAGATCGGTGTCAGTCAGATATTTAGATCGTAGTCGAGCGAGCCCTACATGATTCACAAAGGATAGGAAATTCGGACTGCTCCCATCCTGACAAGAATTTAATTGGCGTTGAGGACAGCAGTGACTCGGTGCCAACCTGCTTTATTGATATCGGCTTTAGGCGGCATTTCTTGGAGGGCAGCGAGGCTTCAGTAAACGCGGACGCGATGGGGCTTCAGAATTGAGATTGTGTGTGCTCTCCACGCGCTGATAAGGACGGTGTTTAAATCGGGACTCAAAGTGAGTTGATGAGCGCTAGGAAATAAGGCTCAGACCAGGGAGGCTATTTCTCGCAAGATCGGACGTGAAGGTTCGGGATGAGTTTGGGAACCCGATGCAGACGAGGAGTTTATAGACTGGGGCTGGGATGATTGCATTTGCTGGGAGGACTAGGAGGGAGGTATCCAAAAACAATGAAAAAACAATGAAGGTCTCAACCCGAATCGAACGGGGGACTGCCTGAGCAATGCCTGGTGCGAGGTATTACACTCAGATGCACTACCATTGTGCTATGAGACCCTATGAGACCCTCGGCTTGAGCAAGTGAACTAGTGAAAATGTGGAGTTCGCTTTAGGTTGGCTTAGGTAAAACAAAGGAAGGTATCAGTGGCTGTGTCGCCATCTTTCTTGCGCTTTTGCTTCGGCCTTGCCGATTTCTTATTGCTCTTCTTGTCAGGTCTCCCTTCCTCTTTTAGCTCCGCCATCCTCTTTTCCGTTTCTTCCCGCCCTTGCTATGCCAGCTACCAGAACGAAGGATGAGCAGAAAAAAAACGCTAATGCCAAGCAGAACAAAAACGCGAACAGCAACCAGACTCGCCAAGCGACATGTATCAAGAGGACGCTGGCCCAGGAAGCGAGGAAAACTTGGGACTTCGGTCGGTTGTTTCGTGTTTGTGGAGTGTGCAGAGCTGAAATATGACTTCAGAGTCGATTACCAAGGCGCGGGTCGAAGAGCAGGCAAACCTACGATTTTGGGTGTGTTGCTTCCATGTGCATAGTGACATGCTGACTGATTGGTTTCAGCAATACGAGGTCATCGTGAGTGATGTATTGCATGATTTGTCAATGCTGAATGAGTCTCAGTGGACTTCATCGGATGGCCCGAGAGACGTGACGTGAGCGTTTTATTGCGAGCAATTACGACGAGGGCTGACTTGGTTTTTGCAGGTGGGAGAACGCCGAACAGTTCAGGACCAATAACATCTGTATTGTAGAGTTTTGGGAAGAGGCCGATACCAGAGGCCGTGATCATACGGACTTGAACCTTTTCAGCTTGGGTGAATGCGTAGAGCGGCTCCAACTAGGGCCCGAGCCAATCGGTGAGTGAATGAAGAAGTTGTGATTCTGCTACTAGATGCAGTGTTAGACCGTCCCATTGGCAACCACCAGCCGTCGGGAACCAGAGTCTTTGCCAGACGAACTGGCAAACATTTCTTTTTAGCTGGCACTGTCTCCCAAAAGATTGGACATCGCTACGTCATTGCCTTGGAGGGCGGCGGGATATGCGAGTCGGAGCTCCAAGATATGAGGAAGTGTCAGCTACAATGCGGGGACAAGGTAGAGGCGGTGGATGCTGCTGCGACTGTTTCTTCCGTAAATGGACACATAATCGCAGTTGAGCAGATTGCCCACCCGTGGAGCTACAAGGTCAGTGAAGCAGAAGTCGCAAGAACCTACAGTAACAGAATGTTATGTGCGACCGACATTGTATGCAGTGGTAGGTTAATGGATACTCTGTCAGTGGGTACGCTGATGCTTGTTTACAGGGCTGCCCCCCTCTGGGAGGAAAGCCAGGGAAGCCCAGAAAGTGAACGACAGCAGTCTACGCACTTGGGCCTCTGCACCTGTTGCAAACAAGGCAGCCACCAAGGTGTATGCGTTGTATCCGCCGAACAGATGCTACTATCCGGCGAGAATTGCGTACCGGGTTGCCAGCTCCTCGGAATATGTGGTCCAATTCTTTGACGGAGATCTATTCCGGCTGCGGCTTGCAGACATGAGAAGGCAGGAATTGAGATCTGGGGATGCTGTGGAGATTGCTAATGGACGCGTCCTCGTTGAGGAGGTTATAGAACATACGCATATGGTTCGGGTTAAGCAGCAGGGTAGTATCGACATTTACCCAATCCATGAATCCCAAATCTTGGCGGCGTGGGGCAATAGGGTAGTGGAGGAAAATAATGTTGTGTGCATGTATCCCGAGCCGGTGTAAACTAAATGTTTCTTGCTTTTTTTTTTTGATGTGATCGGTCTGCAAAATAATAGAAATTGGGCCCCGGCTGTTTCTTAACGGGACCGCGCCGGAATATACCTACCTACCTACCTACCTCACAAGTGGCGTAACGACGCCATACAAAAAACATTTCATTCTAATGCGCGTCGGCGGGCGGTTGTTCAAACCTGTCGAGCTAGGTTTCCATGACGTTTCCTTTTCAATTGGTACATGCTATTCCAAGAAGGACAAGCGACGACATGCAGCCAATTCTGCGTGCGTCAGCAGAACGGCGCAGGGAAAATTAGCAGCGCGTAAATTTTGAACGGCGCAGGTAGGCCTACCTGCGCGAAATACCCGCCGTGCAGCCAATTCTGCGTGCGTCAGCTGAATGGCGCAGGGAAAATCAACAGCGTGAAATACCTCGGGGCGTGCAGTCAATTCTGCGTGCATTAGCGGTGCAGAAAATTTCGAAATACCCGCCGTGCAGCAGCCAATTCTGCGTGCGTCAGCTGAATGGCGCGGGGAAAATTAGTAGCGCGGCAAAATAGACCTAACTGCACGAAATCCCCCCCGCGCAGCCAATTCTGCGTGCGTGAGCAGCGCGCCATATTTTATTTTCAGCGGCGCAGGGAGCCCTACCTGCGAGAAAGGTTGGCCGCGGAGCCAATTCTGCGTGCGTCAGCTGAATGGCGCAGGGAAAATTAGCAGCGCGTAAATTTTGAACGGCGCAGGTAGGCCTACCTGCGCGAAATACCCTGCAGCCAATTCTGCATGCGGCATCTCAATGGCGCAGGCAACATTAGCAGCGCGGCAAAATTTGAGTGGCGCAGGGAGACCTACCTGCGACAAATACCTGCGCAACTTGTGCAGCCAATTGTACGCGCAACAGTTAATGACGCAGGCAAAATTAACAGCGCGCAAACTCTTGAGTGGCGCAGGAAACCCTACCTGCGGGAAAGGTTGGCCGTGCAGCCAATTCTGCGTGCGGCAGCTTAATGGCGCAGGGAGAATTAGCAGCGCGCCAAAATCTGAGCGGCGCAGGGAACCCTACCTGCGCGAAATACCCGCCGTGCAGCCAATTCTGTATGCGTGAGCAACCCGCCAAATGTTCAGCAGTGCAGGGAACCCTACCTGCGAGAAAACCCACTAGCCACGAATGGCGCAGGGAAAACTAGCAGCGCGGCGAAATTTGAGCGGCGCAGGCAGATTTACCTGCAACAAATCCCCGCCGTGCAGCCTGGCCGCGCCGTGACAACACCTGCTGTGCAGTCAATCCTCCCTGCGGGAAAGGTGGGCCGTGCAGTCAATTTTGCGTGCGTGAGCTGCGCTCAAATTTTGAGTGGCGTAGGTAGGCCTACCTGCGTGAAATACCCGCCGTGCAGCCAATTCTGCGTGCGGCAGCTCAATGGCGCAGGCAAAATTAGCAGCGTGGCAAAATTTGGGTGGCACAGGGAGACCTACCTGCAAAAAATACCTGTGGTGCAGCCAATTCTACGTGCGGTAGCTCAATGGCCCAGGCAAAATTAGCAGCGCACCAAATTTTCAACGGTGCAGGTAGGCCTACCTGCGCGAAATACCCGCCGTGCAGCCAATTCTGCATGCAGCAGATCGATGGTGCAGGCACAATTAGCAGCGCGGCAAAATTTGAGTGGTACAGGGAGATCTACCTGCCAAAATTACCTGCAGTGCAGCCAATTCTACGTGCGGTAGCTCAATGGCACAGGAAAAATTAGCAGCGCAGCAAAATTTGAGTGGCGCCGGGTGCAGCCAATTCTTCGGGTGTGAAATACCCGCCGTGCAGCCAATTCTGCGTGCATGGCGCAGGCAAAATTCCAATTGTACGTGCGGCAGCTAATGGCGCAGGCAGAATTAGCAGCGCAGCAAAATTGAGTCGCGCAGGGAACCCCACCTGCGCGAAATACCCGCTGTGCAGTCAATTCTGCGTGGGTCAGCTCAATGGCACAGGCAAGATTAGCAGCGCGCAAACTTTTGAGCGGCGCAGGGAACCCTACCTGCGCGAAAGACCCGTCATACAGCCAATTCTGCATGCGTCAGCTGAATGGCGCAGGGAAAATTAGCGGCGCGTAAATTTCGAGTGGTGCAGGGTATACCTGCGGTGCAGCCAATTGTACGTGCGGCAGCTAATGGCGCAAGCAAAATTAGCAGCGCAGCAAAATTTGAGTCGCGCAGGGAACCCTACCTGCGGGAAATACCCGCCGTGCAGCCAATTCTGCTTGCAGCAGATCGATGGCGCAGGCACAATTAGCAGCGCTTAAATTTTGAACGGTGCAGGTAGGCCTACCTGCGCGAAATACCCGCTGTGCAGTCAATTCTGCGTGGGTCAGCTCAATGGCACAGGCAAGATTAGCAGCGCGCAAACTTTTGAGCGGCGCAGGGAACCCTACCTGCGCGAAAGACCCGTCATACAGCCAATCCTGCATGCGTCAGCTGAATGGCGCAGGGAAAATTAGCAGCGCGTAAATTTCGAGTGGTGCAGGGTATACCTGCGGTGCAGCCAATTGTACGTGCGGCAGCTAATGGCGCAAGCAAAATTAGCAGCGCAGCAAAATTTGAGCCGCGCAGGGAACCCTACCTGCGCGAAATACCCGCCGTGCAGCCAATTCTGCATGCAGCAGATCGATGGCGCAGGCACAATTAGCAGCGCTTAAATTTGAACGGTGCAGGTAGGCCTACCTGCGCGAAATACCCGCCGTGCAGCCAATTCTGCGTGCGTCAGCTGAATGGCGCAGGGAAAATTAGCGGCGCATCAAAATTTGAGTCGCGCAGGTAGGCCTACCTGCGCAAAAAGCCCGCCACGCAGCCAATTCTGCGTGCGTCAGCTGAATGGCGCAGGGAAAATTGACAGCATGAAATACCTCGGGGCGTGCAGTCATTTCTGCATGCATTAGCGGTGCGACAAATTTTGCCCGGCGCAGGTAAGCCTACCTGTGAGAAACTAGTCGTTTGCAGGTAAGCCTGCCTGCGAGTACATAAACCCCACGCAATTATTTGTGAGTGCGCGTTGTCGTGCAGGGTTAAATGTCGGCGTATGGCGTGGATAAATACTTGCGGCGGTAGTCCAAGATATGCGCAGTCAGTTCAGCGTGCGGCTTGTCGCGCGGGGATAAATACCCGCGAGACGATGGCGGGGGCTTTCTTCAATCGAGCAGGCACATCTACCTGCAGTTTCATATTTTCACGGGTGATGACGCGTACTAAGGAAAGGTGCGACGGGCGGACCCTCTGATAGTGTCCCGGCGGACCACCAAATATCGCCAATCCCAACCCCTTCTTGTTCCACCCT